TGTAGAGTGGAAGCAGTCAGAGACAGTACAGAAACAAGGGTGTGGCTTTCCAGTGAAACTTCATTTACAAAACGTGGCCTGTGGGCCACAATCTGCCAATGCCCATCCTAGATCACCTCTCCAGTTTACACACATGCTCCATGAGCTCCACCTTAAAACAGACACACACACATCCCCACAGCCCCACAGCCCTCTCCAGCTGCTGCTTCTCCCAGAGACACTCACTGCTTCCCTGTGATCCCCCATCCCCGACCCAGGCACCTCCCCGTCCACCTGGCTCCTGTCCCCACCACTCACTGACACCACTCTGCCCAGGTAGCCAGCTGGCCAAATCCAATGCCCATGTCTGTTCTAATGTCTGTCCTACACACCTGCCCCGCTTCTGAGAGATACTAAGTCTTGGCTTCATGGACACCGTGCTCCTTGGTCTCCCCCCTCACTTCTTTGGGGCCTTGTTCTCAGTCTTTGCTGGTTCCTCCTCTTCCGTCTGACTGCTAAACGCTGGACCGACCAGGTCATGGCCTTGGTCCTCTTAATCAATACTCTCCTCCTAAGTAAGTCAACACAGTTCTATGGCATTAAATATCCTCTCCACGCTGTTGCCACCCAGCTTTCCTCTCCAGCCCAGTCTCCTCCAGACTTGCACATCTGTGTACCAACTGGGCATCTCCAAATTAGCAAGCACCTCTACCTGCTCCTCCACCTCAGTGAAGGCATGGCAAGGTGAGGAGTTCTCTTGGATCCCCTCTTCCTCATCCCTCCCAACCCTCTGTCACCAAGGCCTGGCAGTTGTGCCTCCATGTGCCCTCTGCCCCTCCTCCCCACAGCCACACCACTACTGACGGCTGTCATCACTCCCCTGGACAAGCTCCCAACTGGCCTCCTCGCATCTCTCTGCCCCACCACCCATTTGTCACCCAGCACCCATGACTGTCATAAACAAAATAAGAAAATGTCACCCTTTTACCAAAACCCTTCCCTGCATACTTAGAGAAAAGTCTCAACTCCCCTCCCCAGCCAGCGGCTCTACTGACCTGCAGCCTCATCACCCAGCCTCCTCCTTGCTCTGTTCCTGCTTCAGGGCTTCCATCTGCTGTTCCCAGGTCTCTCAATGGCCAACTCCTCCTCACCCTCCAGGTCTCTGCTCCATGGCATCCCCTACCCTTAATGGACCCCTCACCAACCTCAGCACTCATTACAGCTCCAAAGAGCCTGTGAACGTGCTGACACATTGACCAATTCACTCTACACACTGGAGAAGGCAAACATCGCGGGCACCCGATGAACATGTGATGAGTGAGCCACAAGTCACGTCACGTGAAAACAGTGACCGTGTCCACTGCAGACAGCCTTCTTCCTTCCACGTGCTGACCTAGGACTACGATCTATGCTGAGCTCCTGGAGTCCTCACTCAGTCCTCTCCTGCTGTAACCTGGAACCTCCATCTCCTGGTGAAAGACCTGCAGACTGTGCTGACCCTGTGAATACAGCTGAATTAGGGAGGGGAGGTCACGGGAAGGCACCCCACGGGTGTCTGAGGCTAATCCACAGAGTGATGCTCCTCGTCACATGGACTGCACTGCAATTAGTATAAATGGACCTCTTTCAGCACTTGTATCAGACCTGTACCCTACAGTGAGATTCAGTATCAAGTAAACACCTATTTTTAGTTAATTTCCAAGGTAACAGAACAAGCAACATTTTACATACCTTCCAATGACTCCTGACCACAAGAAGGCTCAGAGTCAGAACAGTGCAAGCAGTGTCTCCAGGCGCCAGTGGCCAGCCTTTTCCATTACCTTCACCTCCTGCCCCTCGGAGCCTCTCACTTTCACCCTGGGAGGCTCAAGCATGCTGCTCGGGGGTGTTTCATTGCAACAACGTGGCCTGTTTCCACAGCATGCACCTTTGAACTAGGGTTTCCCTTTATTCCCACTGCATTTCCTATAAAAGTCCCCTCCTGCAGCTTTTTTTTCTGGCCCTCTATGGGGTGCATCACTGGGATGTGACAAAGCTTAGAGCAGTGCCCCGCCCCCAGATTCTGACTCCGTAGGTCTGGGTGGGGCCCAAGAATGTGCATTTCTCACCAGCTCCCAGGTGATGCCAGGGCTGCTGACTAGAGGCCTTCGAGGGACACAGACTCATGTTCCAGTCCCAGCCCTGCCTCTCACTAGTTATGTCAGAGCGGTGGTAATACTGCCCACACCAGAGGGCCACCGTGTGGGCTAGAAGAAGCACACCACAGAACAGCTGGCCCCGAGCAAGTGCTCAAGAAACGAGACCTCATCTCCTACTCTGAATTACTGGCTCAGTTGCCCCAGCAATCCTGGGGAGCATATGGACCTCCTGCCCCAAAAACTCCCCTTAGGAAACTCGGTCACAACTATAAAGCTTCAGCAACTGGAATCCTCTCAGGCAATACCTATCTGAATTTCCTATTTCCCCCATGAGGCAAACTTAAAACCGTACTGCCCCAATCATTAGACCATTATGAATACTCTGCTTCCTACTTTTCCTGTTTGCCTCCCATGATCTGCACTCACCACAACTAGAATCGAGTGATTAAGGAGCATCTGGTCAACACACGGCAAGATGCTGACAGTGTATTGCTAATTTCTTAAAAAGGTTAAAAACAGCAAAAGCTCACATATATAAATTTACATACATATAAAACAGAAAGAGAGAGACTGTGTGTGTCTGTGTGTGTGTGTACAGGGAGGCAGACACAGAATGTGAATGAATAAGTGTATGCATACCTGTAAGGTCAGATCTATATCAAAATAAAAAATGCTCATCTCGGGATGGGCTCACCGGTGACTCTTTTTCTCCACTTGAACCTGCCGGTGCATTCTCACTTGCTGCCATACACTGGCCCAGTGAAGAACTCCACACCTTGAGCACACAAGGCACCATGAGGTGGACGGGGAGGGAGCACCGTGCACCCGGAATCACACAAGCCCTCACACTGCTCCACTTGCTAGAGACACTCTCCACCACCCATCCCATCTCTCCCTGGGCCTCAGACTCTTCCGAACGCACTGTCCTCCTAGTCCTTCCCTCCTCTACCTTGCCCCACTTCGGTCCTCCCCCTTCTCCTCCTGGGTAAGCTTCATACCCCTTGGGAAGAGTTGCCCCCCAAGTCCCCCTCCAAAGCTCAGAGCCCCAACATCCCCAGAACCTCCCTTACCCCACCTGTAAGGGTACACAAGACTACACTTTCGTCGTTTAATAAAGCGGAGCCAGTTGCCCCTCCCTTACCTTTGGTGTCCCCTTTGATCAGGAATGAGATGAACCAGCATCCAGATCTCATAAGGCAGTCACCACCTGCCAACTGAGAGCTGTCAACACGCCTCCAGAACCGTCCTGTGTCTCTCATCAGGCGCATCTATGGTCCCTCAAGGAGAGCAGAGAGGTCTTCACTGCTCTATCCTGCTCTACTGAGCGTGACATGTGAAGCGCTACCCAGCTCTGCACTCTCCCGCAAGCTCTTAACACACATGTAACCTGCCACGCTCACACAGGAACAAATCTGTTTTCTTGCTCGTCACGTTAATGTCAGTTGGTGTGTGTTGACAGGACGTTTATTTCTCAGACATGCTGAGACCCTGACGTAGCGCCCCCACCCATGTTCCCACTCAGATGTCCCCCCATTTCAGGCCGTCAGTCTGCACAGCTTTAAATTCCCACCCTTGATCCTCCACACTTTCACTTCAAGCCCTCTCTATTCCCCCACCACCCCCTGAAAGTCCTCACCATCTCCCTAGGCCCCCACCATGCCCCTATGTCCTCACCATCCCCCTAGGCCCCCATCATCCCCCTAGGTCCTCACCATCCCCTCCAGGTCCTCACCATCCCCCGAAGTCCCCATCACCCCCTCCAGGTCCCCATCATCCCCCTAGGCCCCCATCATACCCCTAGACCCCCACCATCCCCTCCAGGTCCCCATCATCTCCCTAGGTTCCCATCATACCCCTATGTCCTCACCATCGCCCTAGGCCCCCACCATCCCCCTAGGCCCCCACCATCCCTTCAAGGCCCCCACCATCCCCCTAGGCCCCCCCAATCCCCCTAGGTCCCCAACATCGCCCTAGGTCCCCATCATTCCCCAGGTCCCCACCATCCCCTCCAGGTCCTCACCATCCCCCTAGGTCCCCAACATCACCCTAGGTCCCCCTCATTCCCCAGGTCCCCACCCTCCCCCCAGGTCCTCACCATTGCCCTAGGCCCCTAGTGTCCCCTCCAGGTCCCCATTATCCACTTAGGCTCCCACCATCCCCCTAGGCCCCCCCAATCCCCCTAGGTCCCCAACATTGCCCTAGGTCCCCATGATTCCCCAGGTCCCCACCATCCCCTCCACGTCCCCACCATCCCCCAAGTCCTCACCATCGCCCTAGGCCCCTAATGTCCCCTCCGGGTCCCCATTATCCACTTAGACCCACACCATCCCCCCAGGTCCCCACCATCCCCCCAGGTCCTCACCACCGCCCTAGGCCCCTAGTGTCCCCTCTGGGTCCCCATTATCCACTTAGGCCCCCATCATCCCCCCAGGGCCCCACCATCCCCCCAGGTCCTCACCACCGCCCTAGGCCCCTAGTGTCCCCTCCGGGTCTCCACTATCCACTTAGGCCCCCACCATCCCCCTGGGTCCCCACCATTCCCCCAGGTCCTCACCACCACCCTAGGCCCCTAGCGTCCCCTCCGGGTCCCCACTATCCACTTAGGCCCCCACCATCCCCCCAAGTCCCCACCATCGCCCTAGGCCCCTAGTGTCCCCTCCGGGTCCCCAGCATTCCCCTAGGCCCCCGGCATCCTGCCGTGGTCCCCACCTGTGGCCCCTGTGCCTCTCTGTCAGCCCAGCCCACGTCCCACCACCGTCCCCAGTCCCTGGGGCACTGGGAAGAGGAGGGGTCCTCACTGTGGCAGCAGCGGCGCGCTGCGCGAAGGGAGGGCCGGAAGGGCTTGGGGCACAGGCCGAGCCGCAGACTAGAGACGCCGCTTACCTGAGCCGCTGCGGAGGCTGAAAGGCGGCGAGATCCAAGACCCCCGCCGCGGACAAGCGCAGACGCCGGGCGGACTCGGAGCCGGGCTGGAGGCGCTCTGCGCCTGCGCAGGGTGAGGGCCGCAGCTGGCTGCAGGCGTGCGCCCAGAGCCTGGCCCACCGCGTCTCGGGCTCGGGCAGGAACTCCGCCCGCGGGCTCTTGGTTCCGCTTGGCTGCGCGGGGCTGACCCGGGCCCTGAGCGCCTATGCCTCGCAGTTTTCGCTCCTGCCGGCGCGGGGCCGTGAGCCGCGGTGCCCACAGCGTCTGCGCCGGAAGTAGTTTAGGAAGTGCTTCCTTTTTCACTTCCCAGTTTAAAGAGCGGGAGTAGGGAGTGAGGAGGCCGCGTTCCTGGTCCACGCTCCCAGCTCGGCTGCGGCGTCCCCGGAGCCGGGCCGCGGCGCTGGCCCTCCCGACCCCGGTGACCCCCGACCCCGCAGACCCCCAACGCCCGGCGACCCCCGATCCCAGCAGCTTCCCCCGACCCCTGGTAGCTCCTCCTGCCCCCGGCAGACCCCCACCCCCCGGCGACTCCCCTATCCCAGCAGACCCCCGCCCTCCCGCGACCCCCCGA